TGTACCCTAGAACTCTCTCTATAGCCTGAATATTTCTCTTTTCTCTGTCTGGTCGGAGGAATCCAGTCCATAAGTCTATGACAGTTCCCTCCATGGGGGGTCATGTCATGAGGATATACCCTGTTGGCGTTCTCAGGACGAAATTCTGGCAGGCCTGAATGTTCTTGTACTGCATATCACTTACATTTGCAAACCACATAGCTTACCACTGATCGGCTATTGACTTACAAAGGATCAGGGCAACTTGTTATCCTCCCCACCATTCAAACATGTTCGAGATTTTGCAATGGGTTTTGTTGTCCTCCAAGAACACGTACTTCCAAAATACATTTACTTCGGTAAAGAACTGTGGATTCAACTCTCAAAATACCAAAAGGGGAAGGTACTGTTATATGGAAAATGTTCTGCGAAGAAGTTTTTTCTACGCTCTAAAACATAGATCGGAATTTTTCAGGCACTTCAGTTGAACTAAGAACCCTCAGTAAAATAAAAAATGTGATATCTGTATAGGGAGGCTATATCAAAACATGAACATATATATAAAATTGTTTATGGAATGCTATATTAAAGGCACTTCGGTTTGGAAATGAGCCTAGAACCATCGAAGTACCTAAAATTGGGCCCGAACTTTATATTGCGGCTATGTCGTAACCTTTACTGATAACCTTCCGTAAATATATTTTACAATCTCCATAATCGCAAAATCCCAATTACACACTCTCCGTTTAAAAAATGTGATTTAAGGGAACCCCACCCATTCTCGATTTTAATTTTTCAAGTTAAAAAATAAGGAAGATCTTCACCGATTGGCTTTATCCTAGTTCATACGATAGCTATACACTCACAGAGAAACGTGTAAAAATTTGAAATCGATTGGGTTATTAGTTTTTGAGTTATCGTGCCCGCCATTCGCAAAAGAGAAAAACGCGTTTAAAGTTTGAGAAGCCCTTTAGCCGTCACTTGATGCTGACACAATAAATCGGTTATATCTTCAAGAGTTCTTGAGATTTTCACTTGAAATTTTATAGAGACATTCTTGTATTAGTGTAGAATCGAATTAAATCAAAAAAATTTTGACCCCGAGAATGGGGGGTCCCCTTAAATCTTCAAAATATTTTCCATACCAAACATTCCAGTAGACAGCTATAGATAGAAGACCTTCTTTTTCATACCTTGTACAGTCCTTCAATATGTCTTCATAAATAGAGCACCATCCTCAGCTCTTTTATGTATAAAAGACCTTCAACACCTATTATGTAGCTGAAAAAAAGCTTAAACAATTCGTCTTCAGCCCTGAATTGAAGAGCTTCTACAGATACAACCTAAGTATGTCTTAAGTAGATTGAATCCTAGCAATTCACACGTTTACCCTAATTACTTTTTTTCATATGGGTGATTCTCAGTTACACCCACACATCTATTTACAAAATTGTTGACAAACCTGATCGATAGCTGCAAAAAAAAATAAACTTTAGTTTTTGATTTGATTTTTGTGCTTTCTATTTCAGAACCCAATTCAATACACAAGATAAAGAATTCGAAGCCCTGCGACGACTCGTACAACAATTCGAAAGAAATAACAACAACCTGACTAAGGAAAGAGATGCTCTCAAAAGGGATTTGTTGGCGGAACATAAAACAGCTGAGGAGTCTCAACAAACTGTACAAGAAACTCAACATGAAATCAGAGCCCTCAAGGACTCGCTGCTGTTGCAAGAGCGGAAAAATAAAAAACTCAACGAAGAAATTATACTCCTGAATAATGAAAAGTCCAAGAAGACAGATGAAATTCAGAGTCTGCTGGATAAAATGGATAGTTTGCAAAGTAAGTATCCAAACACAATTAAATCAAAATTATATAATACATTTTTAGTTTTCATTCATTTTTTGCTTAGATAAAATCCACCTCAAAGAATCCTATGAACTTGAATTGAAACGCACGGTCAGTGATGCTGAGACTCAATATTCTAAAATGAAAACTCAATATGATATGTTGGTCAATGAAAACAATTCAAATTTGCGTACGATACAAAATCTGAATGAGGAGAAATTCAAACTTCGCACGAATATTGAAAATCTACAAAACACCATTGAAACGTTGAAGGGTAAGGTGGCCTATCGTGATGGTGAGATAGGCAAATTGCAATTACAAATCGATAAAATGGAAAAGGAGCGACGTATGCTGAAAAATGAATTACGTACGTCGCAGCTAAATCATCAACACACCCGAGCCGAACTGTACGAAAAGAAAAAAGAAAATGATAAATTTCTTAAATCACAACAGGAAGAAGTTAAGAAAATGACCCGCCTCCAAAGGGAGTTGGACAATTTAATCGATGAAAAGAATTCTGTGTGTGCTGCTCTAACCCGCAAGGAGGAACTGTTTAACGATCTGAAAACCGAGTTGGAAAATCTTCAACGAAGTCATGATATATTGCAAACGGAATTCTCAAAAAATTGTGATGATATGAAATTGATGAGGGTGGAAATTAAGAATTTACTTACCGAACGTAATGTGCTGCGTAAGGACCGTGAGAGTGCAGCCAATTTGAGGCATGAACTGTTGCAAATGCATCGTGTCCTCAATCAGCAGCGTGTAAAGGCGCGAGCTCTGCAGGAGGAAATGATGACACCCATGAATGTTCATCGTTGGCGTAATTTGAAGGGTAAAGATCCGCACAAGTGTGATTTGATACAGAAGATACAATTTCTGAGAAGGTTAGTTGAACAGAAAAAAATAATTGGAAATTATTTATTTTTTGGAATTGGTAATATGTCATTTGAAAAATATTGTGTCACATTTTCACAATACCAAACATGAACTTGTTTGCAAAAAATCTTCCTCACCCTTCGGCTATAACCCATCTTCAACTTTATGCATACATTGTTAAAATATTTGGTTATGCGAAGTTAAGTTCAAATCGAATAGCATAATATTATAAATCAAGATAAAAAGTGTCTGTCGGTTTGACGATCGACTTGCGGAGGTCTTCGGAATTGCACAAAGGTTTTATTATTCGCTTTATAAAGTTATATATTATTATCAAAGATTTTTCGGATTTAATGTGGATCAAATCGGTTACTTAATTCGCTTCAAACTAAATTTATAAATATTGACCTTTTGTGGGGGAGGTACCAGAGGCAGTAGGATAATGGGTCCCATCTTCGGACCTGATAAAGGCTTAGTAAAGATAATTGTTTGTGCAAAGTTCAAATCGGATGTCCCTTTTGCCTGGTATAGGATTTACAAATTTTACACGTTTTGGGGGTGATACCACAAGTGGGTCCCAACTTCGGACCTGTTCTAGGCTTGGTAAAGATAATAAGTTGTGCAAAGTTTGGTTAAAATCCGATATTCCATTTGCCTGATATTGGTTTTATAAATATTGAAAAATTTGACCAATTTGACCATTGGTGGAGGTGGACCTGATGTAGGCTTGGTGAAAATAATATGTTGTTCAAAGTTTAGTTCAAATCGGACATTCCATTCGCCTGATATTGATTTTGCAAATATTGGAAATGTTAACCGTTTGTGGGGGTGGTACCAGAAGGAGTGGGCCAATGGGTCCCATCTTCGAACTTAATCTAGGCTTGGTAAAGATAATAGGTTGTGGTTGGTTCAAATAGGATATTTCTTTCACATGCTATTATAAAATTAAATTTCAGCAAAATTTTGACCATTTTGTGGGGGAGGTACCAGATTGAGTGGACTGATATTCCCCATTTTCGAACTTGAAGAAATATTATGATGTTTAAAGTTTGGATTAAATCTGTTATTCCCTTCAAAAGTTATCAAGCGCACCAACCAGTTATACAAACGGATGGACATCGTTTCCACGACAGAGGGGTCTACGATCTGAAACTACACCGAGTCTTACTTGGCCAACGTGTGCCGATTGTGTAAAAGCAATAGAGCTGCTACAACAACGACGGATGGACACTTGTAATTCTGATCCAAATTGTGTGAAATGGATTTGGCTCAAAGAATTATGGGGTCTAAAACCAATGTTTGATGAGGCACATTTTGGACGTCATTAGCCATTAGACTAATTCAGACACATATCTGTGAAAAATATAAACCGAAAGGGAAAGTTGTTGACAGGTGTGATATTCGAGATCGATTCGGGAGAAAGAACATAGACAGCTTCGAAATGCCTCTTCATTAATACAACAAAACTCTTGCATAAGGAATGGGAAATTCTACTTCCTAAATAACTATATAAATAGCCATTCGAATTGATTTGTTGGGGATAGGAGCGATCAAGAAAGGTTGGTGTAAAAGGAGTTCACTCAGGAAAGGCAAAGTTATATCAAGAAATCTGAACTGTTTCCAAAATGTTTTTCAATTAAAAACTGTTAGCAAATCGACCATGGTTTGATTTGGTCCAATTGAAGTATTTTTGAGAGTTTATTACCAGTTATTTCTTGATTTTCTTAAAATTCTCCATTTTGCAGACAACTTCTACACTACAATGTAACAAATTTGGAACAAGAACGAGCCTTAAAAGAATCCCAACGACTATATAGTACCTTAAAAGAATTCATTGTCAAGCTGCCAAGTATTAAAATCAAGGAAGAATTAAATGAAGTTAAGGTACGTATGATTTACACCATTCGCTTCTATTATTTAAAAATTTGTTTTCCCACTAGTCTGCCCTAACACTCAAAACCCGAAAATTAAAAGCATTGAAAGCAGAAATATCCGTTAAAAGTATTGAAGAGAAATCCCATATTGTAGAATTGGAGGAATTGAAAAACGATTTGACAAAGGTGAAAAATCAATTGCTAAACGAAAGAAAAACCAAAGAGAAGCTACTGCTGGAAAGGCAAACAATAATGCAAATGCAATGTATGTCCGCACCAGCGCATCTACAGACACAGTTTACACCCTCGCTGAAACATCCAAATGGTATTTAAGAGTAAATTAAGTATTCAATCCAATTTAAAGGTATTTGATATTGATTTCAAATTTACAAAATATATATTTAAGATATTAAAAGCTATTCCAATTTCTCATTCGATTTATTTGAATCGGTATTTTTCCATGATGGTTCTGTGGTTGTAAAAACGCAATCAACATAATTCTCTTGACTCGAATAGTCGGTGGTGGGTTCCAGTAAACTTGACAGGGAATTGAGGGTATCCTCTGTGGCACACATCTGTACCTTGGTCATTTTTAAAGTTGTCTTAAATTCATCGATAATACATTCACGGGCCTTCAATTCAATTGCATCGATAGCCAATTCAGCGCTGAGTGCTTTTAATTTCTTCAATTGTTTTTTGTTAATACGCTGTTCATGAAAGAAAAAAGAAGATATATTAAATGTATTGTATACTAACATTGTATTCAATTTGTTTAAAATTGGAGAAAAAATACTTACTTGAGTTTCAACAAGCTTCTGTTTTACATTTGTTGTAGGCAAATTTTCCAAAATTCGCTTTAGTGTTTGACTTATTTTCTGCGATTCTTGTAATTGATTTTGTAGATTCAACTTTTCAGTTTCTTGTTTTAAAAGACGCCTGGAAATAAAAAAAAATTGTGTAATTAAATAAGTGTGTGACAACCTTATAAGGTGTATATATTTTGATCGGCGTCGAATTTTTAAATAATCTCGAGCCTAAAAGTGTGATTGCAATATGTAACACAGTTCTTTGTCATTTTACACCGAGTTTAGTCCAATTATAAAGATTTGTATACCTTCAGACTTATGGCTAATTAGAGTATATACACTTTGATCGGTCCACTCCATTCCAGGTACCATCCCCAGAAAATTATCAAAATTGAGTAAACAAATGATTTTTAAATCATGCGAACGGACTATCCGATTTGAAATAAACTTGATAAAACCTAGTATCTTTACGAAGCCCAGATCAAGTAGGAATATGGGATCCAGTTGTCCACTGCTTCTGGACCAAAGGGTTAAAATTTTCAATATTTTTAAATACTGTATCAGGCAAATGGAATGTCCAAGTTGAACCAAACATTGTACAACCTATTATCTATACCAAGTCCACTCCTTCTGGTACCTCCCCCCAAAGAGTCAAAATTTGCAATATTTATAAACCCAATTTCAGGCGAATAGAATGTTCGATTTACCTTGCACAACCTATTATCTCTACCAAGCCCAGATCAAGTCCGAAGATGAGACCCAATGGAGTGCCTTTAGGTACCTCCCCCACAAAATGGTATTTTTTAATATGATGCGAACTGACTATCCGATTTGAACCCAACTTTGTATAACCTATACCATTACGAAGCGTAGATGAAGTCCGAAGATCGAATCCATTGGTCTACTGGACACACTGATCTAAATTTGTCTGCACCCAAATTTCAGCAGAGATTTAAGGACCTGTTTACTCCGTGGGCCATTCGAAAATGTAATCGATAGACCCCTCTGTCGTGGAAACAATTCCGACTATATTGTTGATAAAGTTAATTCTGTGGCACTCTCATCTCCCCAAGTACATTTAGTGTATTCATATATTTCCTAGAAATCTAAATTATGCCATTGAACCGCGTGGAATACAGCTGAAATAAAAAATGTAAAAATCGCAAACCTTTGTAACATTTGCACCTTTGACAAAAGCTGGAATTTCGGTGGATCTTCACCTTTGAGAATACGCCAACGATGTATACCAGTTGGTGTTTTCGCATCTTCGGTTAAGGCGCGAACTCGTACCCGCTCCTGATTTAATGACCTTTGCAAACGGATAATTTCCTCACGCATATTGGCCGTACTTTTAATGGTACGTGACAGGCATTCACGTTCCGTCTGCAGATTGCTAATTTCCATTTTCAATAGGCGTATATCTTCAACGCGTTGATTGTATTGGGTTTGACCTAGAATCACATTAAAAAATATATTCCAGTAGAAATTACTTTTATGAAAAAAAAAAAAATAATTCGTAAATCCAATTCAAATCTTACTGCTATTTTCAAACCATCTCATTGTGTAGACCCACCTTGATCCAATGCCGTCTGGGTAATACACAATTTCTCCTTCAGCAGTACAATTTCATCGTTGCGCCTAACCATTTGCAAACCTATCAGATTTTTCTCTTTACGTGTCTCTTCCAATTCCTGTGCTATTTTCATAAATTTCAATTCATCATCCGATATGGTTTTCATCAATTGTTCATTTTTCAATTTCATCTCTTTCAAATCTTTGCGAACACCATTCAGGAGATTTTCTTTATTTCTTACTTCGGACTGTAGTTCTTTTTTGTCTGTATTCAAATGTTCAATGCGTAAATTAAGAGAATTGATTTTATTTTGATTGGCGGCAATTTCATTTGTTAGTTGGGTAATTTGATGAGAAGTTTTCTGGGATAAGAGTTTTATTAGCTAAAGTTATATAAAAAAACACAATCTTCGCTTACAGTCTGTAATAGCCGGAAATTGTCTCGTTCTTGTGTACAGGTCTCCAATGTTCGCTGCAATATCATTTTCTCCGAATGCACCGACTCCAGTTGTTTTTTCATATTAATCAAATCGTGATGCTTTTGTTGTAATTTTTCACTTAGATCGATTATTTGGGCGGTTTTCAGTTGTATTTGTTCTACAAATAAAATAAAGTGAGGATAAAGAATTACAAAATTTACTATACTCCACGGGGTAAATTGGAACAGCACCATCCTTATGTCTTTGTGCATATGTTTTTAACAGGCAAAAGAAAACGAGACAGACCCATGGTTCCTTTTGAGAATATGCATAGAATCGCTTTTTAAGTCGATTTATGCATGTACATCCGTCCGTCTGTCCATCTCAAATTGTAAACAAAGTACATGTCGCATTTTCGATTCGAATTGGATGAAATTTAGCACAGCTCATTTATTTGGCCCAAAGTTCCTTTATATCTTTCGATTAGCACGAAATTTGGAATAGCGTAAGAATTGAGTATCGAATGATGAGTGGTAAGTTTCGGAAAAATCGGTTCAGACTTCGCTATAGCTCCCATCAATATTTTCGTCCGATTTTATGAAAATGGTACTTTCCTTACTGGTTTAAACTATGTAATTGAAAGGTGCCATTAACCTATATAGGCTATTTTCTGTCCTGAGCGAACACAAAGTACCAAATTATTGCAAATTAAATTAGAATATGTGAAGTACCTCGCCCTCTGAAATTCTAATTCTAAAGGATTAATACTTAGAATAGAATGGAATCAGTTTTGGCGGTATTTGAGCAGTATGTGCCAAATGGTATTAATTCTCAATCTCATTGTATATATTTTAAATTCACGTCCACAAATTTTAGAACTCCTTTCCCCTCAAACCTACCCTGATAATATTCAATTTTTTCTTGTAACGTTTCAACTTCTTGGGCCATTTCATCACGTTCCTTTTCCGCTTTGGCAATATTGATTTTTGCCTCATCCACTTTTATATTCAGTTTATTGATATCCAAACGTAAACTGTCAATGGTATTGCTCTGCATCATTATTGTGTGACGTAAATCGGCAATTTGATTATTCAATTTGGTGACATCACTTCTCAGGTTATCACGTTCCCTTTGAACATTGTCCTTGAGACGGCGTAAATCATCGAATTTTTGTGCCGAATTCAAAAGATCTTTTTCCAAGGAGTTGGCTTGATTTCTGAAAATAAATTGACCAATATTTTTATATAAATAATTCATTCTTTTTTTCTCACTTCATCCGTATGATATCCTCGTTAAGACCATTATTGATACGATTGATTTTATATAGTTTAGATGATACCGAGCTATGATCCTGCACTGCCTTTTTATATTTATTTGTCAATTGATTTATGGTATGTCCTTTGACCTTGTCCTCGAGACGCTGTGCTCGAATTGTATCGTCTGCTTCTTTTTGCGTTTTATGCAAATCTGCAATTTCATCTTCGTATTTGGTCAATTGTTTTGCTTGTAGGGCATTGTCATTTTTTAGCTTATCAGCAGCTATCTTTAGGCGATCATATTCTCCGGATTTTTTATTAAGTGCGGCAATTGTATCATTGAGCTAAAAGAAAATAAGATTAATCAATTTATTAATGGCGTATGAGTAATATGAATATTTACATATATTATACGATACTACGTCCATGACGTTCTAAGTGAAAAATGTAGGAGGTTATATGTTAAAAAAATTGGTATGTATTGATGTCTCAAGACGACTCAACATGGACAAGAAACAAAAAATAAAAATTCTGATGTATGTTAAATTTCCTGAAAATCTGTTCAGATTTAGATATAGCTCACATATATATTTTCTTTTGATTTAAGGTAAATGACGCACCAAAATACCTATATATCTTTCGATTTGAACGATATTTGGCATAGCGTACTAATTTAAGTCCAGAACGATGTGTTTTAAATTTCATGAAAATCGGTTCAGATTTAGATATAGCTCTCATATATATTTTCGTCGGATTTAAGGTAAATGGCGCACCAAAGTACCTATATATTATTCGATTTGCACGAAATTTGGCATAGCGTACTAAATTAAGTCTAGAGTGATGTGTGTTAAGTTTCATGAAAATCGGTTCAGATATAGATATAGCTCTCATATATTTTTTCGTCCGATTTAAGGTATATGGTGCACCAAAGTACCTATATATGTATCTTTCGATTTGCACGAAATTTGGCATAGCGTACTGAATTAGACTCAGTTCAACGATGTGTGTTAAATTTGGTGAAAAACGATTCAGATTTTAATAGAGCTCCCATATATATATTTTCGTCCGATTTTAGGTAAATAGTGCACCAAAGTCCCTATATAGCCTTTATTTGCACCAAATATGGCATAGTGTACTGAATTGAGTGTAGAATGATAAGTGGTGAGTTTCGGGAAAATCGGTTCAGATTTAGATATAGCTCCCATATATATATTCGTCCGATAAATAGTGCACCAAAGTGCCTATATATCCTTCGATTTGCACGAAATTTGGCATAGCGTACTGAATTGAGCCTAGAATGATGAGTGGTGAGTTTCGGGAACATCGATTCAGATTTCGATATAGCTCCCATATATATTTTCGTCCGATTTTAAGTAAATATTACTTTCCTTACTGGTTTAAACTATGTAATTAAAAGGTTCCAATTATTTTCTGTCCTGAGAGAACCCAAAGTGCCAAATTATTGCAAATTAAATTAGAATATGTGAGGTAATTCGCCCTCTGAAATTCTAAACTAAAGAATAAATACTTAGGAATCAGTTTTTGGGGGTTATATATAAAACATAGACCAACATTCTACAATTTTCGTCCTTATAGTCTTTTATCTTCAGATAATAATTGCTACCAATTACGTTGGAAAGCGTAGATAGGAATTACGAAATGTCAAAACTTTTCGGCTTTGAGGTATTTTATCCTCTCAGATCCCAGATCCAAAATTAAAGCCAATTTGATTGGTTATACGAAAATACACTTTGAATGACAAACATTGTGGAAGGGTTTCAAAGCTCTTTTATAAATATTACAGACTCTATCACACAAGCGGATATTGAAATTGTACTCTCCGACGAATATTTAGAGGTGTTTCAGTCGCAATGATATTTTATTCTTAAACTTTCATATTATGTTAGGGGATATAAAATTACCTCTTTTGTGGTGGCATCCAATTTATCCAATGTCTTATGATTTATGTCCTTCTGATCTTCCAAATTATTCATTAACGTTCGGATTTTCGTATCCAAATTTTGTTTTTCCGATGCTAAAACTTTGACACGCACACCCATTTTATTCAGTGTATCCTCATGATTGTGTATTATATATTCCAATGATTCGGAATAGTAACGCTGGACCTGTAGGCGTTTTTCCAAATCGATAACTTCGCCATTGATGCGATCACGTTCACGTAAAATAATATTCTTATATTTCGATAAATGACCAAATCTAAAATAATGAATTTCACAAAATTTAATGGAACTCATAATGAATGACTAAAATTATTACTCAGCATTATCATCTTGTTTGTCCGCTTGTTTGCTTTCAAATGTTTCACATTTCATTAGGATCTCTTGGAATTTTTCTTGAGTCTCTTGTTCGCGTGTCAGAGAGGCATCGGATTCTTTCCATGCATTACCTGGTAATTACAATCAAATAGTAAATACATTTATTCTAAAATCAATCCTGAATATAGAGGGAATTCATATTTTGAATTTCATAGGTGTGTATATCTTAGTATACACAGTCGGGGTTTACACCTGTAATTTGCTATATTTTAGAGAGAATATATTATATTTAGAGAAATTTAGAAGAAAATAAAGAGCAACAGAACAGAGTTACGTATGTGTAGACCGCGAGTTACAATACTAAGAAACAACATTTACCCAACGCTTCCTTAAGATACTGCATTGATTCCTCCGAGGTGGCAGTCAATTCCAAAGCTAAACGAAATTTATTTTCAGCCCTAATTACTTGTGGCCTTAGCTCTTCGTTTTCTTTTAGCTGCTGGACATAACGACGATGTAAATTGTAAATAATATCGGTATACTTCTTTATCCTCGATGCTTCAAATGTTCGTCCTTTTTCCATAAGCATTTGTATAGTCTAGGAAGATTCAAAACAAAAATTTCATTTAAATGTATATGAAATATTCAATAATAAAACACAAGTTGTTACCTTATTAGCGCGATTGAAAAATTCATCATTAAGATCTGTTATCAAATCCAGTTCTCTTTCCAAAAATGATGTATCCGAATCTTGCAAGACCGGTTCGGGCTCTGGTTCAATAATTACTTTCTTTTTACCTTTCTTTCCTTTTTTACCACCACCACCGGCTCCAGCTTTTGCAACAGGAAGTTTCATTTTTGGAGGCATTTTTAATTGTGTAAATTTCTTCAATTATTCAGAATAAAATTTATTTTCATTTTTATTTTTTATTTTTTTATCAAAAAATTTCAATACAGTGGCACCCCTTTAAAAAATACCTGTTATCAGAGAGAAATTGGCTGTATTAATGGAGGGGAACGTGAAATATTAGTAGAGGGCAATTATATCTGAAGAGTTCAAAGGCTTCCTCCTCTTAGTTCCTTCATGGTATTTAATATAGTCGTTGTTACAGGCGCCTTATGCAAATTTTCAGGAAAGGGTCTAGTTCTAGCTAGGTTGTTTGCTAGTTTATTTTTGCAAGACCTTTATGTCCTTATGTATGGTTTTACGACGCCGAGAGATTCTAAAGATATGACGGTGATTCATATCCGCATACCTAACAACATCTAATAAAACATACAATTTCTTTTATATATTTTTTTAAGTTTTATTATTGAATACGTTTTACAACAAATTTAAATTTGTTATTGTCTAATTGTCTTATGTAAAAAAAAGTAAATTTATTCACATTGAATTATGATGATTATATACTCCCATCTCAATCTATAATTATAATAATATACATTAAACATTTTACTACACATTATCATATTGTGTATGTCCTACAATTAAATAATAATAGTAATAATAAAAAAATATGTAAATATAATAATAATAAAAACGAGAACAAAAACAAATTATTGACAGAGAAAAAAACAAACATAGTTGTGGATTATTTAAAAAGTATACATATCTAAAGTTTGGGCCTTGGAAAAGAAATTCTAAATGTGCAGACAACAAAAATTTATATCGATTTAGACACAAAACATATGGTTTTTGGTTGGGGCTAGAGATTATCTTTCGAATAATGTAAGCAATAATAATAACACAAATATTTAATGATAATATTGAAGAAGTTATAACACAATAATAGTAAAGCTAAACAAATTGGTTAAATGTATCCCAAACCCAAAAATGTTGTTTGCTTCTACGTTTTTTTTTTTTTTTTTATTTTTGGGAAGTGATACCTTTTTGGCAAAGGAATGAATAAGGAATTGGTTTCCATATTAACATTATATCAATTTGTAATAATTTCAATCGTTTTTAATTTTCAAAACAAAAATACTAATTCATTAAATTTCAGTTATATAAAAAATGTATACAACATAAGTCACAATTATAATAATTGGAAGACAAAATGTTGCCTCCTTGAAAGGGGATTATATTTGAAAAAAATGAAAATTCAAAAGCAATAATATAATTTTAAAAAGAGAGCAAAGATTAATTGAGCTCAGAGTGATTAAAATTTGGATATTTCTAATGTACTTGGGTCTCTATTGACATTGGGTCATTTTGTTTAGCAATGAATGTCTTAAATATATTGAATTATAATTTATTCTCTCTTTTTAATGTACAAAAAAAAATGACGGAAAATATAGTTATCTTCCGTATACGCTTTTGATAATAAGTTGTTGAATGTTTTAATATGAGGAAATAGTATAAAGGGATTTATAAGAAAAAAATGATTCTTAAAATAAACAAAAAAAATATTTAATTCTGAAATCAAAACAAACTCTAACAAAAAGTGTTATATCCTAACAACTAATTAAAAATGAACAAGTGATAAATGATAATAATAATAATACGGTATACGTATTTATTTTTTGTGACTCAAAATCATTCATATTCTAGAATTTTAGGATTAGTATTGAGAAAACATTTTGAAATTTTAGTTTTTAATATGCCTATATATATGGGCACTTTAAATCTTCCTCTATTCTTAAGGAATATCATGATATCTAAAGCAAAATAAATTGTCAATATAAATAAACATAATCGACATATATTGTGTCGTAATTTATAGAAAAACTAACGACTTTACTGCTATTCCTTTGCCACATCAACACTTCCCCTAAAACTTCATAAGCAAACTAACGGAAAAAACAATACTTCTCATTATTATATAAATAAGCATAAAATAAATAAAATTCTCTACTAATCAAAAGCTCTAGTAGTTGTAACAGGACGACGCAAACGGGAAGGTTCGTTGTTGCTTGTTGTCTGACTAACTAACGTATGATGGTGGGGTTGGTGTTGCTGGTGATGATGATGTTGGTTTTGTGGCAATTGATTTTGGGGATTACCATTTGAATTGGGACCCAGCTCATGAACATAACAGGCACGACACACACGCACAGCCTTAGTGAGGCCGTATTTGGGCAGCGGGGCCGATGTATTCGAACAAACACCACAGAATACCCCACCACAATTGCGGCAGTGATGACGACGTCTAAATGCAGTAAATGGAGTGTTACAGGACATACAACGTGGCGCCTTTTGATCCGGTATCCAGGCAGGTGGCGACAAATGAACCGGCCTTGACGATTGTGGTGGCGGCGGTGTGCTATTTGCATTTGATTCGCTCACACGCCGAATGCCCCCACCATTTGTTGCCGTTGTTGTGGAGCGTTCACATATTGGCGAATTGTTCTCCGACGAGGAGGGCGTTGTAGTGCTACTCGTTGAATGATGACGATTTCTATACAACTGATGGTTTTGATTTGAATGTGTTGGCGGCGGTGGTGGCACAGTGCTTTGATTTTGGTGCGTGGTTGGTTGTATTTCCTGATTATCTAAACTACGACTACGTTCGATTTGTTGGCGTTGCAGTGCTGCATTTGCTACTATCGCCGTTGATAGCTGTGATGGTGGAACGGCAGTGCTGCCTGTCGAATGTCGGTATACTCGATTGTTGTCATTGGAACTGCCACCACCACTACTACTGCTACTGCTGTTGTTGCCGCTACTACTACCACCACTACTGTTGCTATTCTGACTTTGATTATCACCCTCGGGATTAACTTCTTCCGCCGAATAAATACTCTGACTGGAGCCGGCACTTTCCTGTATCACATCATTTTCCGAAGCCCGGAATTCGAACAGTTCATTCTCTTTAGGTTTTTCCGGTATGTCAAGTTCTTCTTGAGCCGGTGACATATTGATAAGGAATACACTGCGCAATATTTGACGTAAATCAAATGCAAAGTTTGTTTGTAATTGATCGGCGACACCGGCAATTGAGACAAACAAGCGATGCAATAAATTTTCAGTATTTCTGAAAGAGAAAAAATATGGAAACAAATTTACAATCATATACATTTAATGTTTATTTTTACTCTATATAGTACTGGCATATGTATTTACTTTGCATGTTATCACTTTATTAGAAATGCGTTGGAATGAATAACCTAGCAATAACCTAAGCAATTAACACCTAAAAATGGCTGTACCCACATTTTAGCATGATGAAAAACATCTTGTCCAAATGCAAGAATTACTTTTTATTTGCAAACTGCCCAATGACATCATCTGGGCCTTTCGAAAATATATATAAAAAAATTTCCATAAATGATGGACATACTATTTGGATTACCTTCATTAGAAAACTGGTATTACTGAATTTCAGCAAATGCATCTCTAGGATAAGTCACTATTTAAACTCCTCTTAATACATGCATAATTCGTATTAAATGGGTTACTTTATCTTGAATGCAAATAAAATAAAATTGAATTGAAAACAAAATTACTTACGAAAATCTTTAATAAATCAAAAAATGTTTTTCTGTGACTGTAAATTAAATTGTGAAATTCCATCTATCTACATGTATGCAATTAAATTTCACTTTTTTCGATATTTTTGAGCTAACAAAGAAATAAATAACAAAAAAAATATTTACAATTTAAACACTCCTCCCCCTCTCTGTTGCATTTGAAATAATGCGACTATATGCAAGGATTAAATGAAATTAACATTCACACTTACTTAAATTTCATACGTCCTCCAGATCTAACTACAGTTTTATTATCGTCTAACATCGACGATGACGAAGACGGTGTCTCGATGTCCAAACCCAAGGAATTTGCAGCTTTACTATTTGTTATAGTAACATCATCATTGGGTTTATTATTAGTGTTATTAGTCGAACATTCGGCACATTGCAGTGTTCCGCCATTTGGCTCATGTTTGTCGCCACCATGTCGATGTGGACGACGTTGATGATGAGTGTGATGATGACGACGACAATGGGACGACGACGATGATGCTGATGTCGTCGTCGTCGCTGTGGATGTGTGATGTTTACGGCCATTATTCGTTGACGATAACTGAGAGGGTGGCGATGATGTCGTTGTCGAACCATTGTGATGTCGATGATGGTGATGATGATGCCTATGATGATGATGGTGGTGATGGCGATGATGATGTCGTTGTTGATTATCTTTACTACATGTCTGTGGTACATCGCTATAACGTCTGGGGCGCAGCTGTTGGGTAGCAGACGAATTGGATGGATTTAGTGAACTTTGGAGCGACAAGGAGATTTCCGAGTCTTGTAAACTTAAACTAGTGTTATTGGCAGCAACAACTGAATTGTTGTTATCCTGGTTCGCTTGTTCAATGTCAACATAGTGTTGTTCTTGTCGCTCAGTCTGTTGAGTGGAGGAGCTAAATGCCTTGGCACTTGTTGTGGGCATTTCAACGTCCTGGTTGTCATTGTAATCATCCTGGTTGGGCAAATCTGAATCACTAACAACAAAATTATCCGTTAAAGGCACCTCTTGGGGTTGTAGAAGATTACCCAATGTGGTATTGGATATTAAATAGCCGGTGGCACAATCGGCTGAGGCTATTTCCAAATTTATTATTTGCTCAACCACATTGTTCAGATCGTATATGTGGTCTGGGTCGCCATGATCTTCATCGTCGTCATCGCAATTTAGATCCGAATCATCATCATCAGCATAGTGAGCATCTATATCATCGTCGTCATCATCATCAGCATCCCCTCCATCCTCGTTGTCATCTTCCTCGACTTCAATATCTTCGTGGAGTCCAATTTCTTCGTCATCATCATTCCAACTATCTGGAGATGTTGTGCCACTATTTGTTTCCTCGGCAGTGGTGGTGGAGGCCATCGAATGTGTAGATCTTGGCGACGAGGGGGTGGATGAAATCGGGGTTGTATAAGGAGAACAATCTTCCGATGAACTACTTGTGGACGGTGCTGGCGATGGACTGTCGGCTCTTCGGCAGGTGTTGGTGCTGTGCTGTTTTTTTGTCTTAAATGTTTTACATGACGTTTGTTGTTGCTGTTGTTGCGATTTGGAGGTAGTATTGTTGTGTTGTAAAGATGTTGTTTCCTCTTTGTCAACTCGTTCGCTATTTGCTACTCCACAATATTTACTACTGCTATTTGCATCATTGTTATTGTCTACTAATGTTGTTTGTTTCGCCTTTAACGTTTCCTGCAAATACAATTATACATTTGAATAAGAAATTATTTTGTGGAGATAATGGAGAGCCTACCTTTAAACTTATTTCTTCATTGGTACAAAGCAAACGTTCTAAGTAGAACAGCTCCGTTTCATTGAGATTTCTCAAATACTCCCGCACTTTGATCAGTAGGCTACGAAATGGTCGAAACATTTCCGACAATTCCTCTGCTGGCATATCCATATTCAGAGGACCATCCGGATATATTACCAGGCCGGCAACAATTGCCAGACGTGGTATCGAAAACATTAATGCCGGATCAAATGCATCAACTTGCTCCTGTTCCAACAGGCCAAGTTTTAAAGCTCTCTGTAGAGTCTCCGAACACAGAACACATATCAATTCTTGCATTTCGTACTCCTCTTTCGATTTCACCTGGACCATGGCGCTGACATAACGCCATTCGAATTCGGCAAACAGACGATCGAAACGTTTTAAACTTTCGTACAATTGTTCGGTGGCAGCATCATTTTTATCCAAATTTAAACGTTCGCTATTTGGAACATTGTTGCGCAGACACTGGTCACGCAACAGATAGCGTACATTGTTCAGACTACGGGTTACAGCCTCGGCCAGTGGACGCATTTCTTTGCTTTCTTGTTCGCGATTCATAATAGATGAACCGGCGGCAAGACATTCGGCACCAAACCACAATTGGCCGGCTAGATTTTCTTGTAAAACTTCTTCGGGAAATTTGGCTCGAAATGCACGTTGATCACGTTCATCGCCCAATAGTTCTTCAATGATTAAGTTTGTAATGGCCAACACTTTATCCTTTTGGGAGGGGGGAAGAGAAAAAATGGGTAATTGAAATTTTAAGTTTATTGTGAACGAACTGAGGAAACTTACTTGACCCTGTCGAAGCCTGGAAACCAAACGAGAACATCTATCTGGTTCAGCTCTGCCATCGAAACTATCGAGTTCACTAGCTACGGCGGCAAGGGCACGATCAGCATGAAAAAATCGTGCCAACAAAGATTTATCATCTGCCTGAAATTTGGAAAATAAAAATTTTTCAAATTAAAACTTTTTGAAAATAAGCGGGATAGTTTTTTTTAACATAGGGAGCAAATAAAAAGGAAATCTGAAAAATTAGGGATAATTTCCATAAAATATGGTAAGGATTTGTATTAGCGTATTTAAATGTTAAGAGGAATGATAACCTCTACTTTAACTACCAGTAAAATACAGAAGTGTAGCTAGGGGATCTGCATTATTTCCAAGCTTTGGAAGTCATAGAAGGAGTATTTGTATATTTTATCCTAGTTTTGTTGACAAAAATATCCTAATTTCATTGGGTTTCCAGCCAGGGCTGAAAGACGGATGATTCTTCATTTTGGCCGCCCAAAGAGACCAGTTAAAGGATTCATCTTTTCTTGTTCGTTTTTCGAATTTTTCCGAAGGACGACTCGTCTTCCAAAACAAAGTTGGATATTTGAAACGTTACATTTTCAAATTATAAGGTGAATTTGAATTTTGCCAAAAAAACTTTACTAGGCACGTATCATTTCCTTCCAGGTGTATCATTTATTTTCCAGAATATATAAGCAAAACAAGGAATAACTACTTTTTAATGTAAATAATTAAAAAATAATGCAAAATGGAAAAAACGTTTATATTGACATAAAAAAACTTACTAAACTAACGGCTTAGCATTATGAAAAAACAAAAGCAAACAATAGTTAGAAATGTAAATAAAATTCTAAAAACCGGTAGGTATTATAAGTCGAAAGTAAGTGGGTATATACATATATACTATTTTCCTTGTTCTCAATATTTATTGTATTTATTTACTTGGCTTAGTTTTGTATTTACTGTAAAAGTAATTCATTAATTTAAAGACGGAATAAAAGGGTAATTAACAATTCATTGCAAGCGTTGCCCCAGCAATGTACACAATACTCAAAACAAAAGCAAAAAATATAACGAATATAAAATCCGCATTACCAAAAATGGTCATGTTAATGAACCCGAGGAGTTGGTTTTTTTGTTCAGATTTTTTTCTTGTCTAAACAAATTCTCATATCTAAATAAATAAAAATACAACAAGAAAATGTAAAGTTATATTTTCTTTACGGGAACAATGAAAATAAAAACCACTGACCTATGGTTTCGTTAAAATCGTATAACTTCACTTTTACTTAAACATTAATCTGTTCTTTAGAAATAGTTTAAATTGTTTGGAACTTAATAGAGTTATAAAATATGTTGTTTATTTTTATATACACATTCTTCAAGTTATTTTACTGAAAGCAAACTTTTGCTTTCCTTTGTTTTGAGCTTTAATAGCAAGACATTTCATAACTAGATATTTTTTTTTTAAATTTAACTTTCGCTTTACCCTATTCGGAGATACTAATATTTGCAAGCAAAGTAGCTGCAAAGCTGAATTGTTTACAGAACAAATGACTTTTCACGATGAAATAAATTAATCCAGAAACTAATACGAATATCAGGGTGTGTATATTTGACAAATGTACTCATGGAGAATCTTTAATTATTTCAAATCAGTTATTCCTCAACAAAATCCGTTGGGAAATTGTAATACAAATACACTGACACATTCAATATATTTCACGATGAAATAAATTAATCCAGAAACTAATACGAATATCAGGGCGTGTATATTTGACAAATGTTGTACTCACGGATAATCTTTAATTATTTCAAATCAGTTATTCCTCAACCAAATCTGTTGGGAAATTGTAATACAAATACACTGACACATTCAATATATCACAAGTAAAACCGTTGTTAAGTTCGGCCGGGGCAAAACCTGTGGGAACTATGTCATGATAAATTAAATATCAATATTCCAAAAACTGGACTTAATTGACAATTTTCTAGAAGATATATATTTATTCATCAGAAATCTGGAATGCCATGCCGTCTCCCTATATCGGCCCAACTTAACAACCTTAATTTAAAGTTTTTAGCTTACCATTCACATGCTACGAAATTGTACCAAATTTAGTACTCTTCGGATACTTATAGTTCGAATGTCCAAAATACTCTTTGCTATATCTATTCTACACTCCATCAGTGACCCTCATTTCAAATTTCACCAAATACTACTTTTCGTGCAGCTTTAGTACGAATTTCCAAAAACCAAGCTTTACTTGTCACCATTGGACCAAGAGTGACCCTCATTCAAAATTTCAAGATTCTAGCTTCAGCCGTTCCGTCTAGGCGTTGATGAAGCGTTAACTGAATCAATCAGAGACAAAATATTGTGAACTGTTGTTATCCCACATATTTAATAGAAATTACTATAAACTTACAAAAGGTAATACACTATTTATGTACATATGTATGTTAAATTGTACAAAGTAGTTGGGACATTATTCTCCATTCAATATTTCCTGTTTGGAGGCCATCATCAACATCATCATCGTAAAATACAATATGACAAATGCTGACGTCAGCATAGTCATAAGGATGATGATAAACTTGAAAATTTAAATCAAAGCCAGACCCCGCATACTTTCCTCCTTTATATATGAAAATGACCTTCAAAAATACACGCAGCACACAGTTGCTCGTCGTTCACTCAATCAAATTAATAGGAAAAGGATTTGTTGTTAAATGTTGAAATATATTTGTTTCTCTCCAATATGTAGCGTTCAGAAATTTTAAACATAAATATAAATTATTGTTAACATATTTGTATTGTTTGTCCTACATTCATACATAGATAGATAACATATGTACGAACAAAAAATCTACTGTCCGAATTTTTCAACAAATGGTTGATATACTAACAACACCATACACATAAATAAATATTAAATTATCGAAAAACAAATATACATACGTTCATATGTACAACAGTCTGTCAAGTAAATCTTGACAAAATATATAAGGAATATAATTAATTTGGTAAATACAGTCGAAATCGCTTATTAATTATGACGGTCTAGGGACCGGTGAAATATAAGCGACATCAAATAAAGGACAGCACTTTTGCGATGCTTTTGTATAAAGTCGTTAAAAGCTATTTCGAGTATAAGACAACAAAAGTGAAACACATACCTAATTTCATAAATAGTACATAGTAGCAATAAAAACAAATCATTGATTATTAATTTGTTCATAAATTTCTAAAGTCATTTTGTTTTTCGAAAACATTTACTTGGCAAACTGAATTTAGGTAAACATTTTTATTTGATGATGTTGTTGCTGTTATTGATATTCTTATCATATCACTCACTCACTCTCAAATACGAGAATACAAATAAACAAAATAATTATCTGACAGATAATTGTCATATCACTGAAAATGGGTGAGTAAGTAATGGTGTGTTTTGATAAAGAATTGATTTCTAATTGACAATTTTTGGAAATAAGATTTTGAGAAATGAACACAGTGGATTAAGAAAATCAAGTCATCCAGAACGACATTCACGACCTGTTGTGAGAAAGGTATTTTCACTGTATTAGCTAATAGAATCCAGTATGACATACACGACCTCTCCTGAGAAAGGTATTTACCTTGAATTAGTCAATAAAATTATTCATGGCATCAGGCAAACTCGATAGGCGATTTCTTATACCTTTGTACATTTCTATTTTTTTAATATTTTTAATTATCTGCAGATTATAGTGAACACTGAGAGCGGTAACAGCCACCTTTGAAGAAATTAAGAAGGAGTCTGCCAAAGTGGGTCTGGCAGTAAATGGCGACAAGACCAAGCTGATGGTATCAACCCGCAAGACATCCAGTAGACTCGCACCAACTGTGGAACTTGAGAACTACAGCTTCGAGGTAGTCAAAGATGTTTTATACCTTGGTACCGCCATTAACAAAACGAATGACTTCAGTTATGAAATTCGGAGAAGGATAGTGATGGCCAACAGATGCTACTATGGTTTGAGCAAACAACTCAAAAGCAAGGCCACCTTCGCCAGACCAAACTCACACTCTACAAGACGCTGATACTACCCGTGCTGTTATATGGATCTGAAGCATTGGTACTTCCGCAAGCAGATGAGGCAGCTCTTGGAGTGTTTGAGCGAAAAATTCTCCGAAAGATCTATGGGCCGATCTGCGTTGACGGTGATTGTCGCCGTCGAATGAACCATGAGTTGTACCAGCTATTCTCGGACATCGACATTGTTAGACGTAGTTAGCTGCAGTCATTACGTTGGCAAGGTCATGTTGTGGGAATGGATGAAGATGCCCCAGCCCAGAAGGCATGTAAAAGGGAACCAGCTGATGCTCTACGCAGAAGGGGAAGCCCACGAATAAGATGGAAAGACCAAGGAGTAAGGTCTTCCAATTTTTTAAAGACAATTATTTTTATATCGGTCTTCCAATTTTTTTAAAGACAATCAAGTCAAAGCGAAGGTACCTTACATATAAAATATTAGGTTGGGGAAAAAGAAATCCATTATTTTGTATGATTTGTTGCCATTTTAAAAGGAACTTCATTATGCCTCTTTCATAGAAGTCCTGCTCTCTATTTGCAGAAACCTCTAGTAGTCGATTTTCACAATGCTCCCTAGATACCAATTTTTTATCATTAAAGAAATTTTGCAATGCAAAAAAAAATATGATAATCGCTTGGTGCCAAGTCCGGACCAACCAAGCTCCCGAAGTATCTGGCGAATCACTGTAGATGTGTGTGGCTTGGGGTTTTCCTGGTGGAACACGTCACCTCTCCTGTTGGCCAATTCTGACCGATTCTGCTCAATTGTAAATGGTTTAAAACAGTTTTATGGTCGATTTTTAACTCCTGGCGATGTTACGACTGATAACATGCCGGTCAACATCGATAATTTCTCATACTTCTTTTTCCCCAACCAACTACATAGTAGGATGTTTAAAACCCTATAGTTTCTGCGGGACGTCTTTCACAGGAAATATGTAATTCCAGTCATTTATGTACCACAAATAGGGAGGTTCAGTAATATGGAGGATACGAAATAACTCTATATTTTGGACCCGATTCCGGATCGTTTGATTACAGCGATATGGTCTTCCAAAATTCCACAGGGACCCTTATGAAATTATTTTTCTATGGACACAAATTCCAAAATCCACTTCGCGACAGAAGTGGCCCTATACCTATAAACCCTATAGTTTCTCCGGGACGTCTTTCACAGGAAATATGTAATTCCAGTCATTTATGTACCACAAATAGGAAGGTTCAGTAATATGGAGGATACGAAATAACTCTATATTTTGGACCCGATTCCGGATCGTTTGATTACAGCGATATGGTCTTCCAAAATTCCACAGGGACCATTATGAAAACATTTTTCTATGGACACAAATTCCAAAATCCTCTTCGCGACATAAGTGGCCTTCATTGGAAGATTTCATTTCATTTATTCAATTCATTCCATAATACTAAAGCCTTTTTACGACTTTTTGCTATGAACCGATGCCAGCAGAGGGTACGCGACAGAATCCCATTTTAAATAGAAAAACTTTTGTGGATGGCTACGTGGATCAACAGATGTCAACGCCAGCTTCGCGACAAAAATCTCCTTTTAAATATAATAGACTTCTTACATTGAATTTTTGCTGCGCAACTGTGTAGGTCCATATCTCGGGAATATGGATTTCAGAAAATCGCTATAACAGGGAGGCCCTGATTACAATGGTATAAATTATTTCTTGAGGAAATTCTTATTTCGCTTGGACAAGTGTTTTATCATGATTTTTAAAATTCACTAAGGGAATATGGGTATCATCTTAAAGCATTTAAGTTCTGATTACAAAAATGTAATTTTCTTTTCGAAAAAGACCTCCAAAAAATTCTTAAAAACAATATGGGTCTCCAAACGGAAGTATGGTCGATAAGAAAGATACATTTTCGTAATCACGATTTCAATCGCTTTTAATTCATACCAATACACGGCTCAGAGAGGAACTTTGGGGCCATATCTGGCACCAACCGTCAGAATCAGGGCCCCAAGGATTGCATAGGGTAAAAATTTCTAAACTATGCGCGACCGGGCCTTAAACTAGACTTAAGTCATAAATGCCTTGAGTATAACGTGCGGTGTTAATTTAAACTGCCCAAGCTAGTCATTTTCAAATTGTTTTAATGCTAAACGTTTTATATTGTTTCAATACTCTCAGTTTAATGTTTAATTGATACAAAATAATTTGTTTTTAGTGTTATTCATTAATAATTAACAACAAATCAATTGAAATTAACTCCAAAAATGCTCGGCTCTAATCAAATCGACAATTGTTGTGGACAATATGTTGATGTGAGATTAAATGAATGACTCAATTTACATTCATCTCACTGATGACGTACGACGAATTTACAGCTGTAATCTCCCCCAAAATATATTTTTTATTCTCAAGCCCCAATAACAAAAAATTAAAACGAAATAAAATGCATCAACCCACAATTTACCCGAACCGCGATTGATATCGACATGAGTCATATTATTTACTACTGAATGAATCGTCCCGTCATTAACAGACCCTACTACTACTACCACCCATCCGTTAACATTCAACCCCCGCGGCCAAAAAAAAACGAAGCAAATACAATTCACTTCAATTGAAATAAATAAAATTTAAACAGAAAAAAATAATTACAAATTGACAAAGTGATTTTTGGCTGTTTGTCATACACACACACAGATATTTATTTTAAGGCCAACAAAAATTGCCAAACAATGACCCCATTATTTTCGTTTAAGCCTAACACACATTCCATTTTCTTCTTCGAGCTTTTTTTTTTGTTTCAATTAAAGATGGAATTAACATAAATATAAAGAGTAGTAGCAAAGAAAACCTGTTGTTTCTTCAAGTCCAGTGGAAAAACAAGGAAATTGAATGTAAGACGTTGACAGTAGCAATCCTACAACAACAAAAATAAAAATAACAATACCAAATATGTCCTAACGTTAAACAACGGCGACAGCAAACTCATGCACAACAAAACCAGCAACAACAACAATGTGGTAAAAATAAAACAAACAAGAGCTTGCCCCCTTTTTTAATTGCGTTACCACCTAAATACGAAGTACGTATTTTAATGGCAACTTCGTTCCAAGACACAAGATATATACAACAACAAAGGCAACAACATGAAAAGACAACGCAATTTCAAGTGGAGATTCGATTGACACTGTTGTGTTGTTGTTGTTCTTTGTTTTGTTTTTGCGTTTGTGTTTGCATGAAATGGAATGAAGCGAACGTCCCAGCCGCCGCAGCAGCATATGGTTTTATTACAATAATTATTATTGTATTGTATTGTTGTTGTCTTACTGCCTTTGTTACCTTGTAGTTGTTGTTGTTACTCATTATGACGTTTTGTAATATTTTAATAGAGATTGTTGTGTCTCTCTGAATCTCTTGTATAGCTGTTATTGTCGTCGTCAATGTTGTTGCTGTTGTTGTGGGCTGATTGTGATGTTTTCATGTTTCCTTGTACTTGTTTCACAAATATAAATAAATAAAAATACGGAAAATTATTCACAAAAAAATGCCAACAAAGAGATAAAGCAAAATGCCAATAAGCGACGTAATGAGTGAGTAAATCACGAAGAAATTAAAAGAAAAATATAGAAAAATAATAATATGAAACACGTATAAAAAACATGATGATTACTGTTGTTTTGTTCACCGTTGTGATGTTTTTGTTGTTGTTTTGGTCGTTGTGTTTTTATTTATTTTATTCTCATTCGTTCAAGTTAATCACAAACACAGATACTACACACCACATACACACTCTTATTCACACAGCCCCATCACAAAGGAACACACACGAAAAATGAATAGCAACAACATCAGCGACCGTAATATATTTTTTTTTGTTCAAGTCTTTGAGTTTGACTTGTCTTAACAACAACCTTACCTTCGGCTTGTTTAACCATTTAAGTATTGTATCCATTATTATTGAAAGTTGGAATTGCAAACACTCGTCGTCTCGTGGTGCTGTGTTGTACTACACCAACAACAACAACAGCAGCGGAATGGAGGCAATGAGGTTACAGATGGATGATGAAAAAAGCAGTTTGCTCTGTTATTTTTACACTTTTCTTTTTTTATTTTCTTCTTTCACCAGAAACACAAAAAGCAGAACAGGGAAAATACACCCAATTTTTCCTCCTCCCCCACTGCTCAGATATCACATCACAAATGCATAGAAATTCACGCAAAATAGCATTGAGGCGAACACACGAAATATTGCAGCAGCGAAACCTTGAGATCGACTTGTGACATCAACTTAAAATGCGTTTTTGTTGTTTTTCTTCTTTTTTTTTTTTTTGTTTGGGGGATTTCGTTCAACAGCTCGCTAGCTTTCTTTGCGCAATGTTTCTCCACGAAAATAAAACCACCAGTTAATGTTTTCAATTTTCCGTTTTATTTTTTCTTCGGTTTGTTATTTCAATATGTCTCACATGCACAATCCGATCCGACGAAACTACTCTGTGATTTCAATGAAATTAAACGAAACGAACGAACGACCGAAAAAAACTGTTGGACGAAATGATTCACGGGAGCAAGCGTCTTTTCAACTGAAACAGCAGCAAATTAAACATTTGCTCGCTTCGAAATCCACTACACTTGCATGCGAGTGAGTTTGTGTCCCCGACCGACCAACCGACCGATTGTATACACCTCTTCGTTGTATTAAGCGTATTTTTTAGTCTTTGCAAAGACTATCAAAAACCACATACAATATTTTTCATTTTATTTGCCTTTCTTGCAAAGCTGGTTGCGATTGTTGAACACTCTCACTTTGTTGTGACTTTGGCCAGCCTATTTTTACAAAGAAATTCCTTTAATTGTTATCATCATTTTGTAAAATGCTTTTATTTCGTTTTTCCACGTTTAAAACAAATGTACGCAGTTAATTTTTTGTTCTGCTCAGTTTTGTAATAACAAAGGCAGCGAGTATAGGGATATGCCAGTCGAGTTTTGAATAATCGGAACAAATGGAATTTACAGATAATTGTAATAATCGATTTGTTTTGGACTTTTGCAACGTTTTTATACATTTTTATAAATGATAAAATTTATTAAATATATTATGCCCAATTAATTAAGTTCAATTGTGTAATAAATATCCAACAATCAAAAATCTATTTATTAATATACAAACTTTGAAAATTTGATTGCAACCTCAAATACATATCCCTAGACCATTCAAAGTTTTGTATTGGTTGTTGTTGTTGTAGCAACTATCTACATGTTTGTTGTATTAAATTAATCCGGTTATGATTCCTCTGTTTCCAGGTTCAGGAAGGTTGCAACCTGTAACGGCTGCGTCCAAAGAGATTCCGGGGACAGATGAGTGGGTTTAGCAGGGCAGTTAAAGAGATGCAGCGTATCGTGAGGTCCAAATCCACATGCAGGGCATGTGTTTGGAACCTCGCTGTCAATTCGGGCCCAATACGAATTGAGGCGGCTGCACCATCCTGATCTTAGTTGGGCTAAAACCACTCTCGTTTGTCTAGGCAGCTCACGTTCTTCTGCTGCTATAGGTGGTGGGTGGACTCCAAGTACAACATTCACACGGTATTGGTCCATTGCCTGGGTCACTGCTTCCGTATGAATGTTGGTAATTCCTGCTCGATAAGCCTCACGATCTAGGGGTTGTCTTTTATACCGTTGGACCTCTCTCTCTAGATCATGTAGGTCTCTCCTTACGTGCCTGGGTGGGGGAATTCTATCCATAAGATTATGGCATGGATGATTCCTGCGATAACACCCAAGCAGGTACTGCATCGACAACATCCTGTTGTGCCGATGTACGGGTAAGACAATTGCCTCCTCATGTAAATGGTCCACTGGCGTCATAAGGAGGCACCCTGTCGCAGTTCTCAGGGCGGCATTCTGGCAGGTTTGTATGTTCTTCCACTGCGTATCGCTTACATTCGCATACCACACTGGCGCCGCATAGCTTACCACCGACCGACCTATTGCTTTGTAAGAGGTCAACAAGGTCTCTTTATCAGCACCCTAAGAGCTGCCGGCAAGCGACTTGAGGACCTTGTTCCTACTTCTCATCTTATCGCAAATAGCGGTGGCTTGCGCGGACGACTTAAATAAGCTATCGAACGTTACTCCCAAAATTTTTGGGTATTTAGTGGTCGGAATTATTACACCATCGACCATGACGTTCAGAGGGAGCTTCATTTCAGCCGTCCATGTGGTGAACAGAGTGGCTGTGGATTTGGCGGCGGATATCTTCATATTCCTCAGATGGAAGAACTGTACTAAATCAGCTATGTAGCCATTTAACCGTTCACAAATGTCATCGATAATAGGGCCCGACGCCATGATCGTACAATCATCCGCGTACATTACGATCTCAATGCCGTCCGGTGGTTGTGGAATTTCAGAAAGGTAGAGGTTAAACAGTTCCGGAGATATGACCCCACCTTGGGGAACTCCCTGTTTCACTCTACGGGGTTTAGACTTCTTGTTTCTGAATTCCACATATGACTGGCGACCACACATGTAATTGATTACCCAACGTTTCAAACTAGGCCGGAGGTTGGTCTTCTCTATGTCCTCGAACAGCTTGGCGTGATTGACAGTATCGAAGGCTTTCGATAAGTCAAGAGCTACCAAGACTGTTCTATCGCACGGCCTGTTCTGGTTAAGTCCTCTACTTACATGTGTGTTTATAGCGTGTATTGCTGTGGTCGTACTATGCATTCTCCGAAATCCATGTTGGTGCTGAGGGACTGGAAACCTACTTCTCATCAGAGGGAGGAGTAGTGACTCAAGCGTCTTTGCTACTGGAGACAGAAGGGAAATCGGCCTGTACGATTCACCTCTGCTGGCATCCTTGCCTGGCTTCAGTAGCGGGACCACCCTGACTATTTTCCAGGCTTCAGGAACAATGTGGGTGGCTACCGACAGGTTGAGAACAGCAGTTAAGTACTCCACTCCAGGTTCATCCAGTTGCTTCAGCATTATCATTGAGATTCCATCCGGGCCCAACGCTTTGGATGATTTAGCGTTTCGAATGGCATCTGCAACATCATCCTTCGAAAATTGTGGTGGTACCTCCTCGGCTCGGAGGGCTCTAATGCGACGAAGCACACTCCTTTTCGCCATGTCACTCTCGGGGTGCTCAATAAACTGCCGGTTAAAAAAACTCGCGCACCTCTTCGGATCAGTCAACGTTACGTCGTTAAACGTGACAGCCGTTCTATCATCCTTCCTTCCAGGATTCGAGAGTGACTTAACCGTTGCCCACAATTTACTTGTTGCGGCTCCAATGTTGCAGAGCTTCAGGTGGTCTAGCCACTTTTTCCGCTTGTGTTCGCATACTAACCTGTTAACTTCAAGGGTGAGTTCCTTCACTCTTGGGTTTTCAGGTGTTGTACGGCGAAGCTCATCACGCTCATTCGCAAGCACCGTCGCTTCTGCTGGGAAGTTTGGTCTCACTTCGGGTATACGACCAGCAGGTATATGGCGGGCGGCCGCAGCAGTGATGATGTCTCGGAATTTCCTCTCAGCTACCCGAGGATCTGAGGGAATGGGCAGCTCTCTGAAGCGGCGATTGGTTAAATCTCTGAAACCTTGCCAATCAGCTTTACCATGGTTCAGGAAAGTTCGGCGTTCAGAGGTTATGAAATCTGGTGGTCTATTTACGGAGACGATGATGGGGAGGTGGTCTGAACCAAGAGAAATGACGGGTTGCCAGATTACGTCATTAATCAGACCTGGTGCCAAAATGGTGATGTCCGGGGAGCTGTGGCAATCTCCTCTAATTCTCGTGGGGGCATCCTCATTCACCGTGCAAAACGTGGAGCTGTCAATTTGCTCTGCCAGCGATGTACCCCTCTGGTCATTACCTAGGACGGAATGCCAGAGTTCATGATGGGCATTGACGGTTATTACCCTCCAAAATTAAACTAATGTCGGGTAAATAACGCGGGGTACAGCTATTTAACGGCGGGATGTACACGTTAAGCACCTCTATCTCGGCAGTACCACACTTGACTGCTACCCCCATACACTCCATATATGGGTCACTAGAGTCTAGCTCAAGCGAGATAGGTCTGTATTGTACAGAGTGGTGTAACAAGAAAGCAAGTCCCCCACCTCCGCTTCTAGTGCGATCCTTTCGCAACACGTTGTAACCATCGCAACGGTGCAAGCTACAGGTATCAGACAGCTTGGTTTCCTGGATCGCGGCGACCATGATGTTATTCCGATTCATAAAGTCTACGATTTCGCTGATTTCATTTCGCAGTCAATCGCAGTTAAACTTGGTATTTTGGTTTGGTATTTCAAATTACTGACAATACAAAAAATATAAATAAAGCGAATTGCCAGAAAATTGTCGGTACGAGCAATTTTTTTCAATTTCTATTCCCCTTGCCCCTCTCTCCCAAACAAAAACTTGCGCAAGTAAACTCGCCTAATCTAAATTGGGACTAAGGAAAGCTTGTGTCTGAGAACAGAGTCGTTGTTTAATTTATATATACGGCGTTAGAATTATATTTTCAAATAATGTTGCCACTCTGTTTTTTTTTTATTGTATGAAATACGGAAATGGGGACAAAGACATACAATCGTAAAGACTTGACAAGACGCATTTTCCAATATTAGTGTCAAATTTGTGCTATAGAGGGCTACACATTTTAATGGAAAATTCACATTTTGATGTTCTCTCACCAAAAAATACTTAACAGCAATGTTAATTATTTTGAAAAATATGGCAACCAAAGTAAAGTTTGAGATTGTATGAAATTAAATTATTATTTGTTCTTTTGCGTGCTTTATTTGAAGAATTTAAATCAATTGCCGTGTTCCGCTGCCACAGCTCATCTTTAACAGTCGTGACCCCCTTTGTAATAGGTGTAATGGTCGAAAATGGTATTGTGAAAGATGGTACACCGATTTGTGTGCCAAGCAAGGAGTTTGTCGTTATTGGCAATGTCACCTCAATCGAATCAAAGAGATTTGGGTAAAATTGAACCCATACCCGGTGAATCACCAAAAATGTTTGGCCGTCATTTTGAAGCTGATGATAAGT